AAATATTAATTTTACGCGTCCCTTTTATATTGACGGATCAAGTAGGCTCAAACATTTATCGCACTATTAAATTGTTGTATTATTGTATATTAAATTATTTTCCGATCATATTTATGGTCAAGTTTACGCATGAGAAAATTGATTAAATTGTGCAAGTGACTATAACGTTAAAATGTGAATCTATAGCTGGATGTTGCGGTGGAATTAGCTAATTTGAGGTTTTGTTCAAGAAGCAAAAGCGGAGAGTCACAATCGAATACTATGTTGCATCAAAGTAGTCAAGCAATCGAACCACAAGCGGTTCTCCGCTTTCCGTACTTCCTCCGGATATCAGTTAATCGGTTGTGAGTTGTATTTTCGATCTCTATTAATATTAATAAAAACATAAAATAATTATAATAAAATTATAATAAAATAATTATAATAAAAAATTAGATAATCCGCTTGTATAAATTTCAAACAGTAAAATAAGGTGTTTCTATCAGATCATTATAATAAATGAGCTTTAAAAGATGTAAACAGTAAATCTTTATTATTCTTTTTCTATCATTTCACGGAACGTTTCGACCGAACTAAGTTCTCATCAGCTATGTTTATGAATGAAATAAAAACTCTTAACAATAATTTATATGAACATATTAAAAACTTAGAAATTAAATTAAAAATTAATTTCGGTAATGGTATAAAAAATGTATTAATCGGATCATCTCATCCACAATCACAATATGTGTTACAAACTCAAAAACTCAACCATGTTATACTTAGTCAAATTATAAAATGTATATAAATTGTAGATCCAAACCAATTCTTTGGTTAACAACGAGAAAAGATAGTCAAAGTGATCAGAACTAGACTTTCTTAGTACGATCAAAACGTTCTGTGAAATGATAGAAAAAAAATAATAAAGGTTTACTGTTTACATCTTTTAAAGCTCGTTTATTGTAATGACTTAATAGAAGCTCTTTAATAATAAAAACTCTCTCTCTTGATAGAAAGAAAGAATTTTTTTTACATAAGCGCAAAAGTATAAAATATATTAAAATGCATAAATATTTTATAAAAATACCTATTTTTTAATCTCATTTTTTAAACACTTTTAAACACTTGTATATTTATAGTGCTTAATAAAAATCTTACATTATATGTAAGAAGTTTCTGCTCAATTTTAACGTTTCTTCCTTATTTTTTGCTTTCTTATATTTTGTGTTATATTTCTTACACGTCGATCATAACGAGCGAAGGTAGAAAGTCTAGAGGAACCAGCATTTAAGACGAATGCAATTATAGTAACTGGGTTACGTACGTGTAACACACGCCAACAGGAAGAAAGCATTCGGTAAGCACCTCAGGCGTCAGTGCATGTGTCTTCATTGAACACGATAAAATGTAGTGTGTGTGTGTGTCTGTGTACACATATATATATATATATGATAATACGCTTTTTTTGTCTGGAGGAACTTTCCGCATTCAGTGTTTTAATATTGATTAAAAAGAAAATGTCACTCACTGTCCAGATCCGCGAGGATAGCTTCGCTAGCCACGTCCAAACTTCTCGTGAGGCATTTTCGCAGCTGTGATGTGGTGTCCGCGTGGTAGTCCTTTAAATCCTGTAACGCCGTCTCTACTGTCATAGGGAGCTTCTCGATCCCGACCGCCACCACCTCGTTGCATATTATCATTGTCACCATGCAAGAGCTGAAGCAACGCATCAAAGATTATGAATAACGTAGTGAGTGCTTGCTTTAGGTAAAAGGTTTTCCAACGTCATAGTAAGACGAATAGCTGTCTACTTAAACCTCCTATCTCTCTTCCACTTAACTTCATTTATTCTCTCTCTCATATTACTCTAATATTATATAATAGCAACTTAAACGTAAATGTATATAAAAAATTATATTAGTATAATATAATTTTTATTTTAATTAACATTTATTTATATACTGTGTATGTATTTAGTACTTCTAAATGTACACTTCAATTTTCTATCTTACTACTAAAAATTATTAAAAATAAAACGAAAACTGTGTTTATATCTAGTAAAATTGTCCATATTAATTTTAAAATAATAAAATCTTTTCATAATCATGGAAATTTCACCATTCGCGACGATTACTCACGAAGTGTAATCAACAAGGACAGAAGTATCAAGGAACGCGAGTAGGGTTGGAAGTGAAGGTAATAAGTTTTCGGAGCGTCGTCTAAGAACAGAGAATCGTCATAGATCCTACCCAAGTATAAAGACGAGAATGGTGAGGAGAAATGCGAGAACACTCGGATACTGAGAAGGTTTGTAATCCTCTCTGATTGGACGACAAGCGAACCAAAGTTCTATGCCAGGTATTATGCAGGCCAATACGCAGCACATGCCTACTAAGACCAGAAAAGCTGCTTCCACGTGCATAGACTGTAAAAGTAAGATTAGGGACAATGCGTTTGAGAAACTTGACAGTAGTATTTATGTGACGTTAGATCGCGAAAATTATGTATCGCACATCGTAGGATATTCTCTTTGCAGAAAAGCTCTCGGAAATATCGAGGATTCCGTTGCAAGGAATCTAATAAAGATTTGCACTTTCTTTAATGAACCACTTCGTTATTCACCGGAAGTTAAATATTTCTGATTTCTCAGCATGATTTCGCCTTACCTCTGAAATCAATTTACTGGTGCTTATGCGATTTTCCACGGCGTCTACTAGTAGATCTATAACGAGCAAGATAAATTATGATTTCTATGCATCGCTAATTGGAAGAAAGGTAATAGTATGAAAGTAGTCAAGAAATCTATTAAATTTAAATTACTTACTGAATAGAGAGCTATTAAATGATAGATAAAGTAATTAGATAAAAACGTTAAGAATTCTCATGTTGATAATATATATGTTGTAATATTTAAAAAATAAAAAGAAACTCTGCTCCTTTTACATGATCATATGTATATATCAATAATTATCGATCTCTTTTCATATAAATATCGTACTCCATATAAGTAAAAAATATCTTTTAACTGCGATTGCAGTCATCTATAAAACTTAATCAATCATAGAATTAAGAATTATAAACGTTCAGGCATTTGAACGAAAAGACATTTGAATGAATAGACGTTCAAATGCATCGTATTTTGAAGCATTTTACACGTTTTGTATAAGCATTTTACATTGCATGTGAAATGTCGCTCCCTTTTTTTTAATTGAAACAGCTTGCGTATGAATTATTAATGTGGCTTGGCGCCTCGTAAAATGTTGAAAATTGATTTTATTGAAACACATTTATCGAAACGCATGTATTTTAATGGTTTACGAGCTTACTAAAAAGAGATTTCGCAAAACCATTTATGATTGCCATTAAATCTTACCGGTCGGTATGTCGTAAGGTTGTACGAAGAACAAAAAGCCTCTGAGGAAATCGAAAGCGAACCATCTCTTATCAAGATGTAAATTCATCATCTTGTAACGTTCCTTCGTCGTGAATTTCGGAAACTTTAGCCTTGGCTTCTCATCCCAGTCTTTGGGTAAGGTCAATGTTCTCTGCGACACGTTCGAGTTGTTCTTCGTACTGTCCACAAGCACATCCGCCGCCATCATGTCCATCTCGCTCTCTCGTGCCTCGTTTGGAGATCGAAGAATGAGAAAGCTGTTCGTGGTCGAGCAATTGTTACTGCTTGGGATCGAATCAGTTGAGACCAACTCTTGAAGCATGTACGCCTTCGAGGTTACGATGAGCAGAAGGAATACTAGCAATTTTAGAGAAGCGAAATTTATATGATGTTGTCGCCTGTTCACGCGCGAATCAGAATAATGAAAAATCTATTGAGATTTAGATTAATAAACTGTAAAAATTATTTTAATATATTATATTTGAATTTTATAGAAAAATTTATATTATTATCTTTTCAGACATTTTCACAAATTTACATGATTTTGTATTTTTTCTTATATTTTTATTAATATTTTTCCATGATATACGCTTGAAGATTCCACTGCTTCAAGTTGCGTTTAAGTGGAGTAAAATTGAAATTTCAACTAACATTCTCTCTTTGAATACCTCTTTACGTTCCACTTAAATCTTAAAAAGTACACGCGCAGAAAGTACAGTTTTTTTGACGTATATAAAAATTTAGCTAGATCTGAAAATAATTTTACTGAACTATTATTGTAGAATAATTATGTAGGGCATTTTGCAATTGAAGCGGATTCTAGAACATTAAAATATTTTTGCTTATTACACTTGAATTTCCTTCATAATTATTTTAATGATCCATCAAAATTATTTTCAAATTTCTATTTACTTAAATTTTTTAATTTGTCAGCAAAACCATTCTTTTCGTATAGCATTGTTAGATAATAAAAAAAAATCTGCATGTTTAAAAAATGTAGTATTAAATGTATTGTTTTTATCATTTAATAGTTAAATGGCAATTAAAGTTGGTTGCATTTAAAAAATCTTGTCTAACATTGCTTTGTCTAATATTCTAATATTATCTCTGTAAAAATTTTTTTATTTTAGTCTCACTTAAAATTTATGACAAATTGAATTTTCTCTTGGTAATTTCCTTCTAATATTCGGCAAATTTATTATCGATAGTGGTGTTCGAAATTAAATGGAGATTATTTAGATGTAATTGAAGATTACACAACACAAGCAGAAGAGCTTTGAATCCTTATGAAACACTCTCTGAAGCGACACGAAGTTCAAAATAGAATGTCGCTTCTTCTATTTGCGCTTCTTTATGTCGAATCTTCTTGAGAATGATAATTTCGAAGCGCTTTAACAAAAAACGACATGTATCTTCGCGAAAAAATTAGACCGTTTTACATAACGTGGAATCAAGATATATCAAATGATCGTGCCTTGGATTACAATCATTTTTCACCGATTTCCAACGCTTTTCCCTGTACGATAATCGGCACCGGCAACAATTACGTCTTTATTGAATCGCAGTTGCAGGTAGACTGTCATTTTTAGTATTTGTAAAGGCTTCTGCGAAACCCTGCAAGTGTATTGTGATGTTGTCGAACCCTACGGAGACAATAAGTTAGATTGGGGATTGACCAAGCAAGAAAAATGGTGTCACACAATAAGATTACTATAATATCAAGAAATAGTGCAAAATGCAATTGGATAATACAAAATAAAAAGATAAAATATAGGTAAAAGAACAAGTTATAAAAGCAAATTATAATAATACACATTGTGTTTAAAGTATTAAAGTAATAATATAAACAATATTTATAATATTTTAAGTAAACTTGAGACTAACTAAACAAAATAAATTAATAAACCAAATAAACTTGTCGGTAGCGCCTGTAATATATCGTATAACTTGTTGATACATTTATATATAAAAATGTTTTGCAATATTTATGTTTCTATTAAATTAAGCACGTAATTGCTGACTCAGGTACCAATATGGTTGCTCTCACATGTAACAAATAAATTCCGAATAATAAATAACAATATAGTAGATAATAAATTAAAATTAATTTTTACTTAAGTGTTGATATGTAACATCGATTATATGATCTTTTCTCTTTTAATGTAAATCTGTATTATTTATTATTTAATATAAAATTTAAGGATGTTAAAATTTTATTAATGTTAGATATATTTTTATGCGTATGTAGTTTATGGGAATATTAATGCACTGTTGATCGCGGAGTTATTTCATTCCTGGTCAAAAACAGTCCTGTTAGAAAACAGCCTGGAAACAGTTCGGAACATTGAAATTCTGTCGAACGAAAAGTTAGTAAAATATATCAATAAAGTTTTTATTTCTGCAATTTATTACAAAAGTTAGCTAATGGGAAAAATTAATGAGGCTACTATTTCAATTTGAAAATATAGCCTAATAAAATGCCATAAAATAATTTTATATGTATATCTCCAGAATGTTTTTATTTACTTTCCTTTATTTTTATTTAATGAAAAAGATGCCAATTAAAAAAAGATAATATAATTAAATTCTTTGTGCAAGTTTTTTGTCACAGCTCATGATTTTGACGTCCTTGTTACATATTTAATTATGAAAGAGAAGAGACAAATACTGTTTATAGTTTAAGCTCGACTACATCATCAATAATCCTTTGAAGAAGATCAAGTGAATATAATGTGATTTATTGTTCATTTTTATTAATAAAATCTTCGAGTTAAAGTTAAAATATAATTCTAAATGGTGATAACGAACTTGAATAGAAATTTCTCACCAATTCATTATAATTTATTGAATCTGTCTATCGACTACTGACGGATATTATATTCGCGGAATGTTCTCGTGGAATTACTTAGAAAGTATTCCAAGGGTATGTCATAGAATGTACTAACGACTGGAATTTTAACCAACGTCTGTCCACTTTGTGCCTTATTAAATAGCGCTGTGAAGTTAATATGAGAGACTTTGTTGTATATAATGTACACACACACACGCACACACATACACACACACACACACACGCACACGCACGCACGCACGCACGCACGCATACACATATATATATCAGAAGACATGGTGAGAACTATTTAAAAATAAGTTAAAAAATAATAATATTCTTCTTTATTAGTATTATTATTAGTCTTTCTATAAACATAATTCTATAAATCCTGTCTAAAAACTTTAGAGACATTCTGACTTCAATTTACCTTACATATTATAAAAGTTTATCGAACTTTAAACCTATACTTGCATACGGAATGTATAAGATAAAGTGAGAAATGTTAATTCAACAGTATTCTGATAACGTGTAAAGTTTTACGTACTCACGAAATTCTTTAGCTTCATGAACTTCGAAATATTGTATTTGTAATTTTTCTTTCTTGGCACAGCGGCTTTATGCACAACCAAATTGTAACACAAAAATTAATATCGTTGCAGACGTTTATTGTGATAAAATATTTACAAATATTGTGCTACATATAACATATTCAGTCAAACTTTACAATAGCAAAAGTAATGTAATTAATTTAATAATAATGCGCTATTTGAAGCGTCATGCTGTGCTAATATTTGCAATATTTTCTTTCGTGACAGCTAAATCAATTTAATTCTATTTCTTCGTCCGATAACTCTCGTTTCTACGTGGTTAATCTTGTAGATACGAATCGCGAACTGAAGATTCGAACTATCTGCAGTTACTCCTAATACGTGGTACCAAAATTGGGTTGACTTTTTGGTAGCAGCGGTGCCCAACCACGACTAAATCTTCTCGCGAACCAAGTGCGAGATTACTTTTCGCCGATGGTGACTGGGTACTTGGTGCTAGACATCTTTCATCAATGAGACTCTTTCACTCTTACGCGAAGGTATATATACTCGGCCCCTTAATTGGCTGAACTGTAATTCCCATTCTATTTCTCAATGCAATTTTCCCCCCAAACACGGTTAATTGCATGATACGACTGTGAATAAATACTACACATCTGTAAATATACTATGTTTTTTGCTAAATTCAATATAACCAAAAAACATTTTCAATCGACTGAGTTAATGGAAATCATGGAATTTTTTGTATATAATTTTTGTCTATAAATATCTCAGGGAAGTGATTTTCAATCCTGTATAGTTTATTGCATGCTCTATATAAATTCTTATTATTATAATATTTATACTTATTATATAATATTTATACTTATTATAATATTTATATTTATTAGATAATATTTTACGTGTAAGTATAATATTTTAGATATACGTGTACTTATCTATAAAAGTAAGTTTTGGTTTTATAATCATATAAATTGCATTGCATAAATGATGTAGTTTTACTGTGATAACAATTAATTTTTTTTTTTAAGGATATATTTTTTCAATGCTATATAATTTATTTGCACATGCTGTCTATAGATTCTTATTATTATACATAATATATAACATTTTATTTTATATACAATATTTTAAATACGTAAGTACATTCTTGTTTTATGTTGTACAAATTGTATTGTAAATAACATAGCTTTATTATGATAACAGTAAATGTTCATATTTTTTCGAGGATATCTAGGAATTTTTACACGAAACACACAGCTCGTAAAGCACGATATATAAGAGACATTAAAACGACTCGCGTTATTGTATGTAATATGATATTGTATGTAGTCAGAAATGTATCATAGTGTCGGCTAAGTGAAGTAGATAACAAGAGTAATTATTAATGAGCATAGCTGTATGTTATTGTGATGAATGATTTGCAACTTCGTAGAATTGGTATCAAGTATCAGCTATTATATGATTTATGATACTTTCATAAGTCGTTGTCTATAATAACATAATCTTTAACGAAAGTGCGATGAGAAATGCTGGCAACTTTCCGAGATATTCGAGGAAAACGCAAATTGCAGATATCAAAGGAAAATATAGCGGCAGTACAAGTTAATTAATTGATTTTAAGCGCAAAAGGAGTTGCGCGGCTTAAACTAAGCTTCCATCTAAATTATTGTTGCAATTAAGAATATAACTGTGATTTCAACTTACTTCCGATTAATATCAAGTATACATAAATTAAAGCCGTACCTTATTATTTTTCAGGAAAGATGGATGAAAATATATGTGACACACAATTTACTTTTAGTATTCTGTTTTAGTATATTTATTTCTGTATATTATATAATTAAATAAATACGAATTTTTGCGTAATTATTTAAAAACATTCGTTGTCTACGCAAAGTGTAGCGAAAAAAAGTTTGGCCGCTTCCGAAAATGAGCTGC